AAAATGTAGACGTCTACATTTTCAGACACAATTTGGAACGAACTGTGAAGACCCCANTTTTGCGACGACTGCTAGAAAGGGGTGCTCACAGTTTGATGCTAAAGATGTCTCAAAATGTAGACGTCTACATTTTCAGACACAATTTGGAACGAACTGTGAAGACCCCAATTCATTGCGTGGTGTAGCGGCACAACTCAGGACGGCATCGTTAGCCTGATTTCTGTTTTGCGTTGGCTCTTCTCTTCCAGTAATTGAGTTTTGNTGGCTCTTCTCTTCCAGTAATTGTGTTTTGTTGCTGCTCGTAGCGCTCTGATGTAGGTCTACTGGCATTCTTGTTAGATTCATGCAATAGCTTGTTGTGCTTACGATGGCAACCGTCTATCATACACGACGCTTTACTACGGCATTCCCGTTCAAGTCAACTCCGCACAGGTGCAAAGACAGTCTAAGAGCGTTTATGCATCAAAATTTAATTTTGAACAAACTTCGTTTGAGTTAACTGCGGTTTGAAGGAAACATGAGACCGTAAAATTTTATATATGTTTGTTTAATTCTCTGAACCGCACTGATATGGCACTTCATTTTATGTAGTAGTTTACAAATATACACGTATACTTCTACAATGACAAAAATTTTCATAGGCTGTCTTTCTTTGATTTCGAATTGAAAACACATTGTGATCATATTGTACTAGCAATATAAAAGTATTACATATATGTATAAAGCTCATTAAAATGTTATGTAATGTCTTGTTTTAAGTTTGTTATCATAGTTCTTTGTGTGACGGCATTTGTACTTTGTGGCAATAATTCGACTTTCGCTACTTAATGCAACCCTGCGCTAATTTCCGAGTTGTAAAATAAAACTCAATCTGGCATCACTAAAATTGTTCATCTTCCCTTTTTCTTTCTGGATGTCATCGAATTTGGACGTGCTTGCCGATATATCAACGCAAACTATTAACCTGTAATTATCTTGTAAACGACTAAGCAATCTTTTAAGTAATAAAGCATTTTAAATATTATTCGGCTGTTTGGTTTATTTGAACGAGTTCTTTGTGAGGTAAACTCAACACAAAACCCCAAACTGGTGACCCCGACGTGATCGGCAACAACGTGCACACAAGCAGTCATTTTGAGGTAAGAGTAAAATGGCGGACAACGTTTTGCCACCAGGAGCATCTCAAACTCCTTCGCCTAAACCTGAAACAATGGCACCCCTAACTCCATTGCCGTAGTACATGCCAGACTTCCAATACCACCGATGGCAAGCACCAACATAGAGGCCTGGTTTACCTCTATGGAATTTCGGTTCACCGCTTCGGGCATTACGGCTGATAAGCAGAAAACGGCAACAGTGTTAGCAGCTCTCGCCCCAAACGACTTAAGTCAACTGGGCGACGTCATTGCAGCGCTCCCACAAAACGACAGATTCGACTACGTTAAGCAAAAAATAATCGAGCATTTTGCCGATAGCGAACAGCAGTGGCTCAACTGGGTACTCTCGGAGCTACCTCTTGGCGACAAGAAGCCGTCCGAGCTTTTCTTCGAGATGAGGCGCGTCGCAGGCAATACTCTTGGCGATGCTGCTCTCAAAAGCCTCTGGATTAAGCGTTTACCAGAGTTCGCGCAGCCAGTAGTAGAAGCTTCGTCTGGCTCAGCCGCGGAGTACACGAAGATAGCCGATCAGCAGCTCAATCGCGTTAAGTCAACACCCTCCAGCGACATTCATGAACTACGCGCTGTTGTTATGGAACTTGGCAAAAAATTCGACAAGCTCACAACTCGCTCACGCTCGCAAAGTCGTAGGCGAACAAACATACGACAGACATCGCGACAGCTCTAAGGGGATTACATCTTTGCGAGAATCATCTTCAGTCCGAGACTGTTGGTATCATCTAAAATACGGCCGAAATGCTAAGAAATGCCGCAGTCCTTGCCGCCAGAGCAAACGTGCTCTTCGAGCGGTGTCGTCCGAACCATCCTAACTATTGAAGCGCGTGGCGGATGGTACCGACGGTCCCGTCACAGAGCGCAAAGTACTTCGTCTGCAGGGGCACGAACGACATACAGACCAAACATTTCTCGTCGACACTGGTGCCGACGTGTCGGTGCAACCCATCACTGCAAAGCCCTATGACATTCGACCAACCGCAACAAAACTCTACACTGCCATTGGTTCCGCCATCAAAGTCGTCAGAGAGAAACGAATCAACTTGGACTAGGGCCTCCGTCGGGATTTCTCGTGGTCCTTCATAGTTGCCGATGTCACAACCATGATAATCGGCGCGGACTTTATTTGCTTTTACGATTTGCTTATCGACTTGCATCTTAACCGAATCATCGACAACCTCACGAAACTTCGATCATCTTTGACTGCGCCAACGCTATGCAAGGCAACCGAAATCAAAACATTCGACTCGGCCGACGTGTTCGATCTGTTGGCCGAGTTTTCGGAGATCACGAAGCTGGCGCCTCATGGTTTCCTGACAAAATCAACGTTCGTCCACCGCATTTTAACAACGGGCCAGCCAATGTTTTCTAGATCACGTAACGAGCTCAACTTTTTACTTAAGGCGGGCATATGTCGACCGTCCAGCAGCAACTGGTCAAGCCCGTTGCATATGGTGGCGAAAAGCGATGGCACCTGGAGGCCATGCGGGGACTACCGCGCACTCAATGCGAAAACGTTGCTTGACCGATACCCCTTGCCGTATCTAACCGACTTCACGGCGAATTTACAAGGCAAGACAGTGTTTTCAAAAATTGACCTCCAACGTGCGTTCCACCAAGTACCCATCCACTAGGATGATATAGCTAAAACGGCAATCACGACGCCATTCGGGATGTTCGAGTTTAGGTTTATGACCTTCGGCCTCTGCAACGCTGCGCAGACATTTCAAAGGCTCATAAATGAAGTTTTGCGGGGCCTAGATCATACGTTTCCCTACATCGATGACATTTGTATCGCTTCGCCGTCGGTCGAGCAGCACAAGCAAGATTTACGCGAAGTTTTCAAGCGCCTCCGGGACCATAATCTGGCAATAAACGTTTCCAAATGCGAGTTTGGTAAGAGCGAGTTAAAGTTTTTGGGGCACCTGGTCGACGGTAGAGGCATACGTCCTCTACCTGAGAGAATAGCAGCGATTCGCGATTTTCTGAAGCCCACAGTAGCAAAAGAACTGAAGAGCTTCATCGCCATGGTAAACTTCTACCGCAAATTCCTACCGAACGCTATCGAGTACCAGTCTCACCTTCAACAGCTAATTACAGGCAATAAGAAGAACGACCGTACAATTGTCGTGTGGAACAGTGAAGCCGAAGACGACTGCGATCGTTGCAAATCAGAACTGGCGAAAGCAACATTACTCGTGCATCCGTCACCCGGCGCTGAGTTAGCCTTATACGTCGACGCTTCGGACACCGCTGTCGGAGCCGCATTGCACCAACTCCAAGGTGGAGAACTTCAGCCACTCGGCTTTTATTCGAAGAAGCTGACGTAAATATAGTACGTACGACCGTGTTCTGACCGCGGCATACCAAGGCGTATGTCACTTTCGGTACATGATCGAGGGCCGAAAATGCCATATTGTCACCGACCATCGCCCGCTAGTATACGCCTTTCGCCAGAAGCTAGAAAAAGCTTCTCCTCGTCGTGTAAGGCAGTTGGATTTCATCGGTCAATTCACGACCGATATTCGACACGTACCCGGTGCAGAAAATTCCACAGCAGACCTGCTCTCTCGAATGCAAGCAATCGAACAAATTATTGACTACGTTAAGGTCGCAGCCGCGCAGCAAGCTGACACTCATCTACAAGCACTCCTAAGCGAATCAGGTACGCGAAGTAATTCACTTTTACTAAAGTATTTTGATATCCCCAACAGTATGGCGAAACTAGTATGCGATACTTCAACCTCGAACATTCGGCCGTACATACCCCATGAGTTTCGCAGATTACTGCTGGCAAAGATTCACGGATTGTCGCCTCCAGGCATTCGTGCAACAGTCAACCTCATGACGCAAAGATTTGTTTGGCCCGGAATGAAGAGGGAGACAGCAAAATTCGTGCGGAACTGTCAGGTATGCCAACGGTCCACCGACACACTGCATCTGCTCCAGCGACATACGAACCGCTAACCCAACGTTTTGCGCACATTCATATCGATATTGCTGGCCCATTCCCGCTGTGCAGAGGCAGCGCCGATGCCTGATATGTCCGCCGAATCCGTTGCCAAAGCGCTTTTATCTCATTGGATTTCGCGATTTGGCATTCCAACACGAATTACGTCAGTCCAGGGCCGACAATTCGACTCCGCCCTATTCGCCGAGTTGTTGAACATGATTGGCACTATTCACCTCCGAACAACCCCTTACCACCCACGGGCAAACGGCATTTTAGAAAGGTGGCACCGAAGTTTTAAAGCTGCTATCATGTGCCACACAAGTGGGTACATTATTTGCCAACGATTCTCCTCGGTCTTCGTTCAGCTTACAAACCCGACATTCACGCGAGCCCTGCTCCGCTCGTTTATGGTTGAACGCTACGACTCCCAGGCGAATTTTTTTAGTCAACAAAGGCGAGAGCAGTAACACAGGAGATGGTATCTCAGTTCCGGTCGCTAATACAGAAACTTCGCCCTACAAAAACTAAACATCATACGACACCTAAAGTTTTCGTGTCACCAGCATTGTATTCTGCATCTCATGTCTTCGTGCGAAACGACTCAATTCGTCCTTCACTGACACATCCTTACGACGGGCCTTACCTCGTTGTTAAGAGATCGCCTAAGTTTTCTAAACTTTTAATAAGAGGGCGATGCAGCAACATAAGCATCGATCGGCTAAAGCCTGCGTTCTTAGCCAGCGACGACTACGAAAATTCGAGCCATATTCCCCAATCAGTAGAGCCAACGGATACACCCGCACCTATTCCGACAACGAGCCGCATTCCTCAGGAAGACGAGCCAATGAATACACCACCTTCTATATCGACGAAATCCACGCGTTCTGGAAGGCATGTTAACTTTCCTCTACGATATCGGTAGTTTCGTCTAGGCGGGGAGTAATGTGGCAGCATTTGTACTTTCGCAAACTTTGTGGCAATAATTCGACTTTCGCTACTTAATGCAACCCTGCGCTAATTTCCGAGTTGTAAAATAGAACTCAATCTGGTATCACTATCCCTTTTTCATTCTGAATGTCATCGAATTTGAACGTGCTTTCCGATATATCAACGTAAACTATTAACCTGTAATTATCTTGTAAACGACTAAGCAATCTTTTAAGTAATAAAGCATTTTAAATATTATTCGGCTTATTTGAACGAGTTCTTTGTGAGGTAAACTCAACACAAACTATTTAAAAAGTTTTAGTACAATGAATTTCTTTGTTTTGAATATGTTTGTTTATTGTTTTTAATTTTTAAAATTCATACTTTCGACATGTTTGTGAATGGCGGAGTTGCCGCTTTCCCCCTTTTCGGTGGGTTTTTATATTACAAAGGCATCAAAATGGGAAAAAACCTCCTTGGTATCTCTGCTTCTGTTAAACTTTTTATGGGAAGATGTATGAAAATTCAACTTGCCATAATTATATATAATTAATTCGCCTTGATTAGTTGTATCATTTTGTTGTATTTACAGAGTGCTGGGAATTTACTTCTCATTGTGTCTCATCTAGGGCAGATATGTAGTATATGTGTCGTATCTTCTTCGCAACTGCAAGTTTCGCATTTATCACTTTCTATTACGTTTAGTCTCTTCATGGTACATTTACGAAAGGTGTGATTTGTAAGTATTTTGCATAACATTTTTATAGATGCAATAAATTTAATTTTAGGCTTATGGAACCAAGGTTTTTTCGTAATTTTTGGAAACATCGCATAATAGTCTTCTCCTTTTTCTAAACTTATCGTTGCATATTCTTCTTGCCATTTTTGAGTTGATCTCCTTTCAACTTCTTTAATCGCATCTGCCAGGGTCCAGCCAATGCCTTCGTAATTGCCCGTGTGTTCAGCGTTTTTGGCGGCAAGTCAACAATTGTATTTTGATAAATGTTTTTATGGCCAGGTGTAATGTATTTCTACTTCCGAGAGGTTGCTGATGCTTATTAGTGATAAAATTTGGATTACAAGGATATTCGTGCTATTTTTGTTCTGTAATGCTATCGCTCCAGATTTGCTGTCCGATAAGATAGCAATTTTTCGGAGACCCTGGCGGATTGCAAAGTTGATTGCCTTTTCAAATGCCCAGAGCTCGGCTGTCATTGACGTCATTTCTTTGTTTGTGTAGAAGGCTAATGTTGTGTTTGTTTTTTCATAATGAAATGCTGCTTTTGTGAGGTGGTCTTTAACTGATCCGTCTGTGTATAGAATTTCTATGTTTTTGTTTCTGAGTTGGTTTATTTTTTCTTTAAATAGTTGATTAATTAAGTTTTTATTCGCTTCAGATTTGTTTTTAATCAATTTGTTAAAGAATTCAGTGTGTATGGTTATTTTTTTTGTTGATATATTTTCTTTTGGTATAGTTGTGGTATTTTTAATGATGTCCTCGTATTCTTGAAATACTTTTGTGTAGCTAGTTGAAAAATGTATTTGCTGTTGTGTTAATAGTTATTTAGCCGGTAGATCAAAGGCGAATACTTTTAATAATTCTTTCGCTGTCCCAAGCTGCAGTCTATATTGGAGAGGTAATTCAGCTGCCATATGGTATATTACGTGGGTCGGAGTTGATTTTATTAATCTTATGCTTTTCCTAATAACTTGATTGTTACAGCTTTCAAGTTTGTCCATAGCTGTTTTGGATATGTTCGCAAACGAAGATGCCGCGTATTCAAGTTTCGATC